CCTGCTGCTGTTGTGTTCTGTTTTATACTTAGATTGTAAGATCTTTGGGGCACAAACTGTATTTTTGCTTTGTGTTTTCACAGCAAGGTTCTGGTCACCTGGGGCTCCTAGGCAGGGGGGAGGAGGTCCTACATGCAATGGCAATACAAATAATAATTAATTATAGTATTTCTGAACACAGCTTGCATGCAGCCTGGTCTCCTGCTGCTGTTGTGTTCTGTTTTATACTTAGATTGTAAGATCTTTGGGGCACAAACTGTATTTTTGCTTTGTGTTTTCACAGCAAGGTTCTGGTCACCTGGGGCTCCTAGGCAGGGGGGAGGAGGTCCTACATGCAATGGCAATACAAATAATAATTAATTATAGTATTTCTGAACACAGCTTGCATGCAGCCTGGTCTTGTCTGCACATTACAGTTAAAATGTTGATTCATGAGGGGTGAGGGAAATAATCCTTGTTTCTCTCTTTGGTTTTGAAACTTTTCTTGTATTAGAGCTGGTTGAAAAGGCAGTTAAAAATGGATTTTGATTGTCAAAAAAATTCCATTTTGAATTTCGGCAGTATAATTCTTTGAAAAACCAGATACGTTTCATCCAAAAGGGTTTGTTTATTGAAAACAGATTTGTTAAAAAGTCTTGAACTCTGGGGAATGTCTTCTAGTTCTAGTTTATTTTTGTAACTGCAAGAAACTGAAAGAGTGGAGCAAAAATGGTGCGTGCGAACATGGGTATCTTCTGGTAGGTTCTCCTATAATAAGTAGGGCTGCTTAGGGTCAGGGATTGCATGGCAGACTTGTTAGGAAAATCTTGGTGTTGAAGGAAGTGGTGTTAATGATTCAGTAGAGGGTGCTCTTTCCTGTGAGTCAGTGCACAGCAATGCCTCAAGGGTGGCCCAGAGAGGTCTTTTTGCATGAGATGTGAAAGGGAGGTCCTGCATTAGTCATGGCCCTTAAAGATCCCAGATTACCTTTTGATTGGACAAATTTAATTTTTCTGACCTAAAAATCCCCCTGCAGTTTCAGCTGAAAATGTGTTTTCCCCCTCTGATTCTTTACTCTGTGTTTATATTGCAGCAGGCTATGTTATAGGTTGTGCTTGGGTTCCATCCATATATGGTCCATTTGTGTTACGCATTTACATTAGGCATATGGTTTGTACTGTGCATGTGTGTGCGGATTTTGTTTTACACAATGCATGTGTTTTGTGCATGGTATCTCTATGGCTTGTGTTTGTGCTTTGTGGTTGTGTGAGATGTACATGTTTTACATTTGAAGATGAGTATTATGCATAACATTTGTGTTTATTTTTATCCCGAATATAGGTTAGGGGCAACTCCGTGTGTTGTGTGTGTGTGTGTGTGTGTGTGTGTGTTTTGTCATGTGTGTACTTGCCTTGAATTACATACATAGCTCCCCGTCCCAGCCAAGGACCTCTTGGGGAAAAAAGAGGGGAAGTGGAGGACTCCCCTACTAGTCCGCCTGCAGTCCCCTCCTCCAGATTTCCTTGGAAGTGCAAAAGATTGGGAGGGGTTTTCCGAGGGGAAAAAAATTGCAACATCTCCCCCTCCCCCTCGCCGCACGAGAACGATTTTTCTTCCTACATACAGAGGGGGCAGGTATGTTTTGCAACTTTTTTTTTTTTTGTTAATTGCATGGCCCCTGTGTTTGTTGCATGCTCCCCTATGTGCATCCGTCACAAAAAAACCCGGTGAAGAATCAGGACGGGGGGGAAAAGCAGAAACCAAAACCCTCAGAGGGGGGAAAAAAAAAAGCCCTCGCCCTCCCGCCCCTTGACTTCCTCGCTGGCAGGTCTGTGAACCCAGCACTTTACTCCTCCCCAGCCTGGCTGCTCAGGGCTTTTCTGTCTGCTGTGCCTTTGCAGAGCGGCTCCGGGCGCAGCGCGGCGCGGGGGGAGGAGCCGCCCGTTCCTGGAAGAGCCCAGCCTGGGGAGTTGGTCACATTCTTGGCTGGGATTCAATGACTGAGGCAGACACCGACAGGCAGGGGAGGGGTGCGGGGGGGAGGAGGGAGCCAGGCTGCATTAGCTCAGCTGCGAGCCGCGCTCAGTCTCTGCCGGGGCGAGGAGCGGGGCGGGGGTGCGCTGCTTGCCTGCA